CTTGCTGCCTAATACATCCCACCCACTGACAGGTGCCATGATAACCAGATAATCAGTGTTATTCATTTCTCCAGTCAGTGGTCGTAATGTTATGTCTGATGTGTGTATCTTGAAGATATTAAACTCCAATTTGCATTTGTAATGTTTATTGTTCTATAAAATGCTTTTTGAGAAACACGGATGTGCTAGGCCTTTATATGCACATATATTTTGACTCTTCTTTAACTAGTATTATAAATGGTTACATTTCTATCATTATATATATATATACTGACATTACATTTACATTACATTTTACATTTTGCCTGTATACTATGTATTTGAAGCTTATATATATGCATACAACATCTACTGCATGTCTATCAGTATACTGCAAGAGTAATCCCTCCTTTGCCGCTCTTCCTGAGGTGTGTTCCCTTTTTCTAATTAAAATAAACATAATCTTCCTTATCTGAATTGAGGGTGGAAGGATAGAGTGTTTCATATCCTGGAGAGATTGTAAAGGCAAATTTGTTATTTGTGATTTTGGGACATACAATTAAAATGAACTGGTTTGCCTTGAAGAGTAAGTACTTATATTTGGAATATGAACTGACGTTGCAATTGCAGAAGCTCTCCGCCGTAGCCTAACTTAGGTTAGTATTACAAAGCTAAGTCTTATTTGATTAAAGGCCATTTCAGACAAAATGCGACAATGGTATCACTGCACTCATGCCCAAGTTCACCTCAGTTGAACCTATGTGGAACCATGGGCGATGCGTGCTGTGACGAATGCCCACTTGGCCAATAGAAACAAGGCAGCAAGCCAGGAATGGCTGGAGAAAAAGCTAATATTGTGTGTATTTGAATTTACTGAATTGTACAACATAAGTTTATGCTTGTATAGAGACATCGGGAGGAAAGCCCTATCTTGAAAACACTTGAAGTATATCGGACAAAAGTACGTGGTACATGGAAAAATGATGTAGCCCTACTAGTTTTGAAAACTTCACCTATTTTGATCAGTCCTCCATGACTCAAGGGCTCAAAAATAAGGATTCCCTGCTTGCCCGGGGCAAGTAAAGTGCTGTGTAAAGGCTGCGTAGATTTCTAAACCACTTGCCCAACCAAGCAAGTGAAAAAAACACCTGTTAACATTGAACCCTACTTGTGTGCTGAACCCAGCGGCAAGTGTAGCGCTGTGTCTCAAAGGTCTCTTAATCTTGAAGCAGATCCAGAAACACCTGAGGGAGAAGACTGCTCAGGGGAAGGACTGCTACAGGAAGGAGAGGAAACTACAGAACAACATAAGGATGGAGGATGAGAACCATGACAGGATACAGGCAGACCCGAGATCAGGTCAAACACACTGCAGATACCATCACTGGACCATCTGCAGTTCCTCTACAGCTAAATATTGGGGTGGAGGATGTCATCATTTTACTGCTTTGCGTGTTTTTAATGCTCATGGACACGTAGGCAGATGCTTACGCACTTCTCTGTGTCATAAATTAAAAATCATCCAAGTGTTCAGACACAGTACGTAACAGGTGTATCAGAGGTGTTGACCTGTCTCCCTTCTCTTTACATCTCTGTCTTTGCCTAGCTTGTACAAACAGGAAAAAGAGTACAAACAAAAGATGTGGACGGAACCACCTGCAGCTAAACATCAAACTGAACTGGATTAGCATCACCACTGTCAACAACAAGAGGGGTCAGTGACAACTTAACTGGTGGTCATTTTGCCATCTGCAGAACTATGCTGCAGATATTCTTCCATTCCATCATTATATGTTCAAGGGCAGCAGGGGGAGAGCAGCTAACAATCCCAGAATCAAACAGCTCATCTGGAAGGTTGGCTTGCTGGCTTAAGTGGAACTTTAGTCTCTGGTGGTTCATTGGCTCTGCTCCTGGCATGCCACCCTCATACCATGCAGTGGTTGAGAGGCACTGCTTATTTGTTTGCTTTTGTTTAACATTACTTACTTACTACTATTTGCCTTGTATATAATTTTATTCATAATTGCACTTATTACACTTTTTGGAATTACTGCATATCCTTCTTTGATTCCATATCTTATCTAGAGCTGATAAAAGAGGTAATATTTGCTATGTGTTAATATATACTGTGTATATGTTATTGATACTGAAAGCCAGTGCACATCTCATGGTAATTAAAGAAATTAACTGGATGGGGGTGGCCCCACCCTCATTATTCCCATTGTCATGCCCACACATTTAAATGTATGCCCCTGTACTCGGCAGCTTCTAAGCATGGATGTGCTCAGCCTTTGCAGTCTACCTCAGAAAACAAGAAATGAATGTCAAAAACTTTGCACAATCATAACAAGTCTTGCTGTGTTGACGTTAACAAGGACAACTCCAAACTTTTCTCTCAAAGTACAATAGCTATTTGCAATAAGAAGTTTTGGTCTTATTACAACATATGGGTTTGTTTTATTTTTTTTTCTGATTGCTCCATTACAGTAACAAGACATTGAAAAGTGAGTGTGTGTGTGTGTGTTTTCTTCAGTAACTTTGTTCTTTGGGGCTTTTTGCTCTCCACTAATCAACAATGGTGGCGGTGAGGAGTAAACCTACAGTGTATTGTGTCTCATTCTTCTTACCAATAGGTGTTCCCACTCCGTAACCCTTCGAGTCTATGAGACCTCCGATCTGTGTCAGGTTGCAGTTTCTCTGGCTGATGTACTCAATGCTGGTGGACTCCATCAGCATAGCATAGTCTGTCGTCAGGACCCGGGTGATGCCTTCCCTGTTGTTCTTAACCAACGCAGTGTTCTTCCTGCTGCTCATAAATGCCCACATCTTCTCATAGGTGGAGATCTTTGATTTCTACCAAAGGAGTCAAACAGACAAAAGTCAGTAAGAACTTTTATACATTTGTACTTGTAGGCTAAGGGTGTTTGTAGCTGCACATGTACCCACCATACATGTACTTAACTATATTTTAAACACTATCATAAACACTTTTAGTTTAACAGCAGGATGCAAGAGACTCTATCTTTGAGTGTGTGCCTCAGTGTATATGTGTATGTGTGTGTTTCTCCTTGCGCAGTCAGAGAAAATGGGACAGCTGTGTTCTTAATCTCATCCAGCTGATTCAATTTGTTCGAGCCATCAACACAGCCTGCTTCTTCCTATCCAGGCAGCCGTAATCACTGGCTGCAATCTGGAAGGATAAAGCCCTGCATGGATCACCCCTGCTGAGCCACTGGGACGCAAGGAGAGTGGGTGGCGGTGGGGGAAGGAAGTGACAGCCCTGCCTGAGGACATCGGTACAGCGATATGTTATATAATGCAAACTAAAAAGTTAACATGTTTAACTTGAACACAGAAACCCTGAATCACAAATACAAGTAGTCTTAATATGCATCTTCTCCACTTCCCATACTCACCTCTCAATGAATCTACGTTGCCTTTCATCAAAGTAAATGCAGTAAGTCCTTCTTTAGATTTTTTCTTATTCATGTGATGTTTGGCAAAAATACAGGATGATAGGGGAAGCAGCTGAGGGAACCCTCATGACCCTGATTTTGTGGAGGTGAAGGTACTATACCACTGACTCATACTCATATCTAAAAGTATACAGAGATGTCAGAATACTTGTGAGGATTCACATCTCATGTAAAGTACAGGCACAGTTAAAAACCAAGAAAGCATTTTTTAATTATTCATTCTTTTGCCTAAGGTGACTCAAAACAGAGAGCTGTGCATGTTGTTGGTTTTACTAAAAGAAAAACATTTTATCAAAGAAGGAAATATTCAAATGAAGGATTTATGTACTTAATATGGGAAATTATATGGGATGAGGGCTTTCATTTGACCTTGGCTGCAATACCTAAATTAAATTAAATTCACCTAAGTATGCAACATAATTTGACAGGCTCTACAACTGACGTGAACTTTTGAAAAAAGGCACTGCATAGTAATTTCAATTATTACTTTTTATGCTGTGACTTTGATAAAGTTAAAAGCTCATATGGAGCCTACACCAGCTCTACCTTGAAGAAGGTCATGGTGGATCCATCCCTCACTGCCCCGTATTCAATCCTGGTCTGCTTTGCCAGGTCATCTGCTGAGTCAATGGGCGCATCCATTCGTTCCACAGTGAGGAAGGCAGCCAAGTTGGCCGTGTAGGAAGAGATGATGATTAAGGTAAAGAACCACCAGATACCGCCAACTATACGAGTGGACAGAGCCTTAGGCATCAGCTCTGAGCCTGGAAGCATAGTGATGGGAGACAGAAGGTCAAAACATGCTTAAAATGCTCATCAGTATGTTACAACCAGTGTGCTACAACTGTATTGGTAAGAGGTTGTGTGTGTATGTGTAGATACTCTTCTAAAACAAGGGGAAAAAAAAAAAAGTCCCCCCAATCCAAATGGGGTTATTTGTTCCTATTGGATTTTCACTTCAGCCCCAAATGATAAATTGGGCACCTTTTCATAAACTATATTTATTTTCTCCCTCAGCATTACTTGTTTGGTCTAAAACAAAAAGCACAAATTAGAAGAACCAAATGTGCCAGACAAAAGGAAAGTTGAATATAAAGAAAATAAGCGAACACACCATGTAAAAAAATTATAATAAATCATTTTTTTAAATGAAAAAGCAGAATTACCACGATTCTTAATCTTTTCTTCTCTGTACAGAGAAAAGAAGCAATGAAAAGGATGAATGTAACTGAAGAATGCAATTACCAAATTTAATGTACCAGGTTTGGAAACATGTTCTTTAAACATCTTTAAACCTTTTTCGGTTGGAGTGGACAAATGCTTCAAGACACTTTTAGGGTAAAATAAAATCCTGGAGGGTTGCTTTAACAGCCACGTTTCTAAGGTTGCACTTATTCTCAGGCACGGTATCCCACACAAAGCTTAAGGCCACCAAACAGCTAGGTTACACACACCACACTTAAGTACATGCCACAGGTGCAGAATATGACACTGAGAAACCTAGCTTATAGTACATTCACAATAAACGACTGAGCATGTTTATGATAAGATGATGGGCTGTAAAATGGGAATCCTGCCACAGTTCAGTGGGACACAAGATGTTTATCAGTAATCTGTTTTGCAGGTCAGAAATCAAAATAAACCAAAAATATAAAGGCCTCCACATTCTTAATGAAAACTTTACTTGCTTTATCTATCAATACTGTTGCATTACTATTAGAAGAGACAAGTGAATGAAGTGAAGACAACTGTAAATTATAACATACAATAATGTGATAATTAAGTCTTGAAATAAAGTATTTGGTGTTTAAACTCTATAGGAATATTTTTGTGATTGAGAGGCGTCTGCCCTGAGCATCAGCAAGATAAATCCCCCCATGGAGTCCAGACACTGGATGTGGTTTCATCAGCTGATGAAATAATGATCATGAGCTGATCAATCTGCAAAGACTGGACAGTGATGGGGAGGTGGAGGGGCGAGCTTATCAATAGCATGAATATTTAAAAAGACAGCAGCAAGATGATAGGCTAATGATGCAGGTGTGTCAATGTACTATTGGATAGATGTCACCAGCTGATGAAAACAGCTGATACTGTTTCATGAATGACAGCCCAAGATAATTTCAGCAAGGAAATGATGTGCAGGCATGCATGAGAGGAGTGAATGCAGGATGAAAAGAGAAATTAACTACAGCCCTATATGCAAAAGAATTGTCCTCCTGACTGAACTTTTGCCAGAGAGCTTCATTTCTGAAGAACTGATACATTTTACAAATGTAGCTTGCTGTCAGAGAAATCACAGCCATTCTGTTGTAGACTGGTGTTGTCAAAAAAGGGAAGTGAAT